GTGTCGCCGGCAGTTCTACAGGGCAGCTGGGGCCAGGGACGCCTGGACCCACACTGTGTGCTGATGGGTCGCAGACACTGTGGGGTGTAGGATTTCCTGATTCTCAGTCACAAAGGGGGCACCTTGGGCCACAGAGGGCATCAGAGGCCTGGGTCCAGGACAGGCGGGTCGAGGAGGGACACAGCACTTGAGGAAAGGGCAAGATCTGCTGTGGTTATAACACCTGGCCTGGCTTCCCTCTCTGGAAAGGGGCGGTGGCCCCAGTCCTCGCGCCTGTGTGAGAAGATGGAGAGCCAGACCATGAGCACCACGGGCTGCATGGAGGCCCTGCAAGCGTCTGGGGTCTGTACTCTCTCTCCTTTAAGATTTTAATTAAAAACTCGGCTTCACAGTGTAGTATATCACATACCACGAGGCTGAGCTTTTTAGAGCTTCCTTACTTAAATCAAAGCCCTGGGAGGGCACTGTTCCGGGCCAGACCAGACTGGATGGGCTACCCTCATACGGCATGGTCAAACTGAACTTGGAAATGAGCCAGTTTCCTGGAAAACACGAGACGCACAGCTGTAACCGTGAGGAGGGTCACTGAGAGACCAATTGCTGTGTCCTTTGTGTCTCTTGACCGCTCCTGCCCTCAAGGCTGGCCTCCTCTGCCCACCTCACACATTCTGCTTTACAGGATGAGATCTGTCTGAGTCTAGGATTGCTGCAAGAGCCAGTGACGCCTCTAACTTAAATTTGGGATAATTTCCTGTTTTGACACAGGTCAGTAGCTGGCGCTGTATTTAGGGTTGTAGACAGTCTAAGCACCCCATGATGCCCAGTGAGCCCTTGCGGCCCCCGTCCTCCACCCCTGGGGAGTACCACTTTCTCTCCTGTGTCTGAGTCTGCCTGGCTCAACACCACACAGCCATCGTATGACACGTGGGCTTCCTTCTACAACTGGCTTAACTCCGCTTTACAGATGAGAGAAAGGGGCTCAGGACGCGCTTGTGTTGTACGTTGGATCTCAGAGACAGACCGTGTCTTCTGCTTCTCTTGCACCCACGGCCCATTCAGCAAAGTCCTGTGCACAGAGCAGAGGCTAGCCACAGACTGACGGGAGCTGGGCCCGAACTCCGGCTGCTGGCACAGTGAGCCTCAAAACACTCCCACCGGTGCAGAGGGACTGGCGTTCCTCTTAGATGGGAACGGACTTTGCTTGGGAAAATACCAAGGTGAGTGAGCTTTGCAGGAAGCAAGGATGTTCAAAGACGTGTGCAGCTGGTGGCAACATGTTATGCTCCAGAGGAGGGGACTCTGGAAGGGGAAGATGGGGTGCCATGGGGGTGCTGGCACAGGAGGGGAGGAGGGAGAGAAGCCAGCTACCTGGACAGAGCAGAGGGCCTGCTGTGTGGCAGAAGACCTGAGATGACAACAGCGCCCGGTGACCGAAGCGGGGTGCCCTGCTTTGCAGACCCCCACTTCATTCAGGCTTTGGGCGAGGGTGGCCATGCTGCCTGGGGGATGCAGAGGCGGGCGTGACTGCCAGGGATCCTGCGCAGCAGCCTGAGGAGTGCTGATGATGGGGCGGCAGGCTCCCAGGCCATTCCTGGAAACCCTGGACTTCTAGCCGGAGGTTGGACTGCTCTTTATTTGGGCCCCAGGGTCTCACAGCCCAGCCGACATGGAGCTTAACCTCAGAGCCTTCAGAGCGCACACAGAGGAGGCAGCCTTGCCTGACCTGCAGAGGCATCGGTCAGGGCGCCCAGGTGTTCACTTCTGGGCACGGCCCTGGGGGCTCCCAGAGTTCCTGCCCACCCCAAGGGCTCCCTGCTTCCCCGTGCACGATCAGTTCCCAGAAGTGTCCCTGTGCTGATGAGTCCTGGGAGCCTACGGGGGGTGAGGAAGACAGGTGAGGGAGAGCTGTGGTGGCTTCAGAACTGCAGCTGGGTCTGAATCAGGGCCCCGTCTCTGATGGGGCAAGAGATGGGTAATGGGGTCAGGGACACACGCAGCTGGCCCTGCTGGGTTAAAAAAGAATCCAGTTTTGTGTTCTATGTTAGTTTGCTCCCTAGAAATGTTCTGGCTTTTCTACAGAGCCTGAAAATGAAAAATGAGATGAAATCCACCTTCAGGGCGGGCCTTCTGGATCTCCCTCGGGAGTGCCAGGCTTCAGAATGACGATGACTTCAGGGTTGGAAGCAATGCAGAGCCGTCAGAGCTGAGAAGCGAGGCGGAGGGGCAGGCTGACACCTCTTGCTGTTTTCTGCCCACCTGCCCAGCAGGTAGGACCAGGGTGGGGCTCAGCCTGTTGAGTGCTTCATGCACGACCAGTGGGGCACAGCCCGGGGCTCCCCACTGCAGTCCATCCTGACTCCCCAGCAGCCCAGGTCAGATGGACTCCAAGGCTTCCTGGAACGCACCTGTCATCCTCCAGATGCAGCGCATCCTTCCCACCGCCCAGTCTGCACTCAGACCCCAGAGGCTGACCGATGCCCGTGAGACCACGCCCCACCGCATCAGCTGGCCGGAGCTCACTCCTCCAGCGACGTCCATATGCACAAACACCAAGCTCAAGAGAGTTCACACAGGCAACAACAAATGCACAGGCCCCAGGAGCTGCTAGCCAATCCTGGAAGCTTCAAACTGACTGAAAAGAACACTACGACGTTTTCCCGTGGTCACCAGGTATTATCTGTTATCCTGCGGCAGTTAGCAGACAGTTCTCTCAGGAAATGACACAAACTTCCTACATTCTCAGCGCTGGCCTTACCCTAAGCCCGACGCTGACTGTGGGAGGTCTGGGCACCCAGGGACCCCACTTTCGGCACTGGAATCCCCTGTGACTGTAGAGGGCGCAGCTGGACAGGAGGAATAACGCCCGACAGTCAACATTAACCTTTGCGGATTTCACAGCAGCTAGCAGAGAGGGTCAGGAATGCTCCCCACGCAGACGTGTGATGACCATGGCGACAGACAAGCCCACCCACATCTGACCATCATGCAGATCTGACCATGCGTGCTTTGAACTGTCACACTGTACCCCCAAGATATGTATAACTGCTACGTGTCACGAGAAATAAAATCATTTTTAAATATGTATTTTTATCTTGGGAAAAATGGAATTACCCACAATGCCATAAGCTACTGACTTGTAAGAGACAGTGGCTGTGACCGCATGCCCCCTTCCAGGCCAGCCACCCCAGCCTCCATTCATCCCCGCGTCATTTCTGCCCGTAAAACTTCCTGAGCGATGCAAGCTGCAGCAAGCGCCCTTAGAGGAAAGGCCCGGAAGGCCGAGTCTAGTGATCTGCTTATTCCAGGTGCCGTGAGCGGGAAATGACATTTTTTTTTTTTATCAAGGGCAGCTTGAAGTTTGGAAGCCACACATCTGTCCCCGAGTCTGTGCGGTTAGGTACTGGTCACAGCGAGCATTTTAATTTCATCCTTCCTGCCAGTCTCCTTATCTGTCTGCACTGGGCCGCGTGGGCTGCAGGACTGCTCTTCTCTCCACGCCTGGCTGGTTCCAGTGAAGCTGAACACAGGACACACCTGTGTGTGTGTGTGTGTGTGTATGTGTGTGAGTGAGAGAGAGAGAGAGAGAGAGAGAGACAGAGACACAGAGACAGAGAGACAGAGACAGAGAGAGAGAGACAGAGAGAGACAGAGAGAGAAATCTCTTGCTACATGGAGGGTGCTGCAGCTGCACCCGACACACATTAAGCACATGTACCTGCTTGCTGTGGACATTCTTTTCCTCTCCCAGCTACACGGACAGCTCCCCAGGCCGCAAAGGTGTCCTGCCCCGCAGACACTGGACTGTCACCCAGCTCCTCTCTCCACGTGCCACTTTCCAAACCCTCTCACATACACCTCCGCGTCAGCCAGGGCGCTCCACGGTTTACCAAACTAAAACCCAAGAAATCCACTTGCTCAAGGGCACTTAAACCGGCAAGCTGATGTACCTGAGGTCACCTCGCTGGAACGAGGCACAGAGCTGAGACTCAAGTTTGGGGCTCCATGGGCTTCCTGCCGGGCAGGGGCGAGGGGTACAGTTTGGGGAACACAGCCATGCTGCCACAGAAGCCGATGTGGTAACGGCGACAGTCCCCCACCAGCGCCAAGCTTCCCGGAAAAGGGACGATCTGGGGACAGAGACGCTCCGGAGAGTGGCTGGTGCTGAGCGGGTCTCTAGCTGTCTCGGAAGCTGGCTGTCACCAGTCACTGTCATACCCCCGGTCCAGGGAAGCGGAAGTAACTTCCAAGCTGCAGATGGGGACCCTGGCTACAACTGCAGCCCGAACTCCTCTTTATCTCACGTACCCACGGCACACAGCACTCCTGGAACACAGCCCTCTGGAGCGCATCTCCTCGACCGCCTCTTCCTGCTCCCTACTGCCCCAGCGAGCCCGCCTGCCACGGGGGGCCCGTTCTCCACACGGAGCAGCACGGGACTGTCCTCCTTGGAGCTGCTCTTCTACTCTGGAGCCGCTGTGCTTGGCATTTCGCAGCGCCCAGAAAGATTTCATGAAATACTCCAAGGAAATAATTGTACCTCGTCCTTTGTTTCTCAACTCCTTTCATCCTTTCCTCAGAGACGGCCGCCATAATTAAAGGCAGCACTCTGGGTGTCAAGCTCAGATTCACAGCTTTGATAAATATTGGGCGATTAAGCTATTTATAAAATATGTAATTTGAAAATCTGGCATTTCATGTGCTATGATTATTTCTTCTCCGTGAAGACTAAGTGCTTAGCCACGTGGAAGGCACTGGCAGGGAGGGAAGTTAATAAGGATGTTCACTTGTGAGCTGCGACTATTTTCACATCTCAAATGAGCTGAGACAATTTCCTTACAAAAAAAAAACCAAAAAAACCAAAACCCCCAAAAAATCAAGGAGAGGAAGAGAGAGAGAAAGGGAGAGAAGTCCTACAGCAAAGCGATGGGATGAGTCTCTTCCCGTCTGAAACCAGTGTCGCTGCAAGTCGGGGAGCTTGGGTGGGGGGCAGGGGGTCCTACCAGGAGGTCCACCATGTTGGGCTTGTTGTTCCGCAGCGTCTTGACGGCGTGGAAGACGTCCACGGTTCTCTGGTGCCGCAGCATCTCACAGACGATGCTGATAGCGCAGAATGTGCCGCTGCGACCTCCCCCGTTCCTGTCACGGTAGAGATGAGAGGGTTGGCTGATGTTTGCCCTCATGCCGCGTGTCACACGCTTACTGTGGAGGCGTGCCGTCTAAACCCCCGAGAGCCAGTCGTGAAGGCCTCGGAGGCCGCTGGCGTCCACATCTGGGCCAGTTCTAGTTAAAGCAAAGGGCACAGCTGGTGGGCGTTTGGGTCACAGGTCACAGTCACAGGTCACAGGGCCGGTGTCTGTCCAGCGTTGCCTCAGCCTGAGACTGTGTTACCTGATGCAGCACCTCCCAACGTTACACCACAGCCCACAGCGGAGCATTTCTGGGGACAGAGACCTTGCCTAGTATCTATTGGGTAAACTGGTGATGAGTGTGGCTTCTGTTCAAAGGTGTGCCTAGCCATAAAAACCTACCAGCACCTTACACTTATCTCTACAACAGACAGGGTCTTGTTAAGTCATCAGATTGCCCAGGCGAGGTTCAAACTTGGGATCCTCCTGCCTCAGTCTCCCAAAGTGCTGTGATTATAGTTGTGCAACACCACGCCTGGCTTACAGGGTATTTTAAAACAGAGCTTTTTATTCTGAGCTAATTCTAGATGTGTAGAAACACCGCAGGAATAGCAGAGAATTCCCTTGTAACACCCACCTCCTCTGCTGTGAACATCTTGGAAAAGCGTGCCGTGCTACCACGTAAGCAACACTGGCACTGGCGCAGTCTTATTCAGTAAGCCAGGCCGGCGGCAGATGTCACCAGATTCTCCGTGAATGTCCTTTTCCTGGTCAGGGATCATGAACTGATTCTCATCTTTCATTTCGTTGCCACCTACGCTTCTTCCAATTTGTGACATGTCTTCAGTCTCTCTTTGTCTTTTTTTGTGGTACCAGAAATTGAATTGCCTTGCCAGGCAGGCACCTGTGCCGCTGAGCTATATCCTTGTCTTTCTTGACCTGGATCAGTTATTTTGCAGAATATGAGATGCAGAGGACAGAATGTAGGGGGAGAAAGCACCCATAGTGCTGAATCAAAGGCTGAGAAGGGACTGCACAGGGAAGAATGCACACTGCCTTTCATTTGGGCTGGTCCGCTGCCTTCTCACGAGCGGAAATGCAGCCATGCCTTTTAGTACGAAAATCATGGAAGGATGCTTCACCCTTCACAGGGTTCATGGTGTCAGTCACCCCGTTCTCGGTGATGTTAACCTTGCTCAGAAGTGAAGATGGTGTCTGCCAGGTTGCTCACTTCCAAGTTTCCATCTTTGTGCAGTTAGTATGGATCTTGGGTGAAGGTATTTTGGGTCTGTGTGAATCCTGCTTCCACTCACGGGTTCATCACTGCTTTTCACATTCATTGGTGGATCACATCTATAACAATTTGATTTTGTGTTTTCTTCCTCCTGACGTTCTACCACAGGAAGGAGGTATCTCTCCTCCTCCCTCAAAATGTATGTTTTATTTTATTTGTATCAGCGTGGACATGGAGAAAATATCTTGTTGTATGAGCTAAAATTCAGTAGCACCATATTTATTTTGCTGCTCAAGGTTTTCCAACTTTGACTCTTAGGAGTTCCATCAGGTTGGCTCCTGCGTTCTTGGGACAAATGCCTGTCCTTTTTGGAACATTTCTTACTTTCTGGAACTGTAAGACATTCCAGGCACATCCTTGTATTTCTCCTGCACCAGCTGAGCAATCAACCCCTTTTCCAAGGAACTAAGAGACCTTTCATTTTTAAAAACACAACAGTACTATCATTCCCCAAATAAGTATTACCACTTTAATAAAATCAAATTTCTACCTAGTTGAAATTTTCTTTGTGGTTCCTCATAGTTGCTTTTAAAAAAATCCACATCTAAGCTAAGTCTGCACATTGCATTTCTTTGATAAAGTTTATGCTTATATTTTGATCTGCTGTTCTTTTTCTCTTTTATTCTTGAAAAGTTATTTGTTGAAGACGTGGGTATTCGTCCTGTAGAGAGCCCCACATTCTGGGTTTCCTCTGGTATCTACCACGTTTGTGCTCTGCCCCGAGTATCCTGTAAACTGGTAGTTAGCGACAAGGCTTGCAAAGGATTCAGGAGGGATGGGTGGTTGAAAGGGTGAGTTTATTTACACAAAGATGTCTTACATGTGTATTTCCTTGGGAAGCAAACTCAGGATGACATCTCACTGGCTGTTTGCACACCCCGCCTCTTAAAGGAAGTACCTGGCAATCCTTTTGCCTACTGAAGAAACTGGGTCATGCATCTGGTTTCTACCGACCTGCAGGAGTTCTGGCTGAGTTCTTTGCCAGCGCTATGCACGGCAGACCTCTCCTCCACGGTCTTGCCTTTCACACCTTCCTGATGCCTCTTAATGATCAGAAGTGCTGCATGGTTAGGGAGATCCAGTCCCCACCATCCTCCAGTGCCAGTGTTCTGCGTCCTGTCTTAGCCAGGCTTTGGTTACCCACGCACACAGGAGCTTCTTCCACATCATCTTCTAGAAGCTCTGTTGTTTTCTCTGACATTCGGGCTTGTGATCATCTGGGAAAGATTCTGATCTACAGCGTGAGGCGGAGACCAGTGCGGCCCTGCAGGGCGGGGTGTTCGCTGGAGACCAGGTGACACAGGTGTGGCCCTGCCCCTGGATGTGTGTCCTGTTTCCACCCTTGCACTAATACCACACTGCTTTTCCATCCGCTTTCCGCCCAATGCTTCCAGTAGCTTCTACTCCATGATCTTGATGGAGTTCCAAAGCACTGGTCTCTTACTTCTATTCATTTATCCTGGCTTTGTTAGCTGGAAGCCAAGTATAAGAAAAGTGTGTGCACCCTGTGGATATCTGTGGCCCGGATCCTAGGACCATGCCATCCTGGGACCTGTGGTGGAGCCTTGCCCAGGCGTGCTCTGTCCACCACCAACAGGTGGCGCTGTGCCATACCGAATGGGCGCCCTGACCTCAGACAGAATGGCATCCTGGCAAGGCCTGGAAGAGGCCAGTTTAAACTTTGTTTCTTATAAAGAAAAAATACTTATGAATCTAAACAAAAACACACCTCTCCTGCTCTGGGTGTTCAGCAAGGAGGGCAAGAAGCAGCCCCATGGGTAGCACAGAGCGTCAGACTGGGAGACAGCCAGGAAAATGCAGGTGCCCTCCCCAGCGGGAGGGGACCTAAGGCAGGAGGGACATCAGACGCCACCACCATCTATGACAGCCCAGCAGCCCATCGTTAGAGACACCACATGGAATGGCGCTGCTCACTGGTCAGCGGGTCACACTCTTGGACGTGCTGTCTACAGGGCGTGGTGACTTAACGTGGTCTTTGGATCCCTCCCTTACTCCTGTCCTGGGGCCTCAGCTTCCTCCACTGGCACTTCCATCCTGAGCGCTCAGCTGTTGGCCCTTGTTAGACAGCTACCGATCCAGGGGTCAGACGCGTTTTGCTTCCAGATCCAGTGCTGGGGTCTCCAGGTCCCGGAGAGGCGACTGCAAACTCCTTGGAGTGCACAAGCGACATGGCTGGGGCATAGCTCAGTGGCACAGTGCTTGCCTAGCATGTGCCAGGGCCTGGGTTCCACTCACAGCGGCACAAACAACTCAAAATGAACAGATCTAATCCAGACTGATTAAAATGTCGGTGATCTCTGCTGAACTTGTATCTACTCAGCAAGGGCGACCCTTCTCTTATTCTGGTCAGAGCCTACATCTGTAGTTAGAGAATACTCTTTGGAGGATGGAGGAAGGGACTTCCAGAGGCAGACAAGTGCGGGGAAGTCCCTGAGACTCTCCCAGTGAACCCGAGTCTGTGCACAAGACACTCATGTGTTTGGGTGAGGCAGGGCAGGGCTCTGGGTGACCCTGTGTAACGCAAGGGACCAGATGGAGAGGGCCCTGTACCCTCTGTGGAGTCTGTCACTGGCTGGCTTGGTCCCCTCCCAGTGAGGCCTTCCATTGCCTTCCACGTTGCAGAGATCTCCTCTGGGCATCTACCGACACCCTGAAGAGCGACAGATGCCGAGGCTTTGAATTTCCAGGGATACTCTAAACATCATCCCTAACTGCCGTGGCTTTTTAATTGCCTGTTCCATTAAGCCAGCGCCAGCTGGATGATTAGCTACATATCACTGCCAATGAGAAAACGCAGGTGAGGGTTTGGAGGAGCCTGGTGTGCACTCTGGTGGCTCTCCACCTTGGCCGCCCAGGGAAGCACACAGAGGTCTGGGTTCTGCTCAGTTCTCAGGTGTGGGTGTGCCTGAGGTGGGCATCTTACAGCTCCCAGGTGACTCCTGCTGCTGGGCAGCTGGGCCTCACCGGCCCCCTGCCAAGGGTTCTTCCATCTTAGCCCCTGCTGAACTGCCGGCTTTGGGGTCACCCTTTCAGGACCCTGGCTCTGTGTGAGTCAGGTTTCCACCATGATAGCAAATCCCTAATCCCTTATAATCAGTTTGCAAAGAGGAACACTTTCATTTGGCTCCGGTCTGGAGTGCCTAGTCCATGATGGAGTGGGGGCCTGTGGTGGGGGCAGATGTCAGAAGGACTGCTCCCTTCACGGCCACAGCGGGGGGAGGGAGGGAAGGAGGGAGAGGAAAGGGTAGACCAGAAGGGGGAGGGAAAGGGGGAGACAGGGAAAAGAGGGAGGAGGAGGGGGACGGGGGAGGGTGAGGGAGGGAAGGAAGGAAGGAGAGGGGAGAGAGAGAGGGGGGAGGGGAGAGACTGGGACTCCGCAGACCCTCTAGGCCGAGTCCCTGAGGACCCTCCATGAACTCACCTCTAAGGCTTTTACCACTTTCCAACATTATCACCCTGGGGCCCAAGCCTTGACCTCCTGCGCTCTGAGGACAGAAACTGCAGCAGGGTAAGCAGTCCTCCCAACACGGAGTTCCCGCCCAAACCTCCCGTCCAGCCACGAAAGCCAGGAAGGGACAGGGCTTTGTGGCTCTGCTGTGTCATGCGATGGCCCTGGCACCCTGGCTGGCGCGGGAGCCCTGTGTGGCAGCATTGCTGAGCTCTGTGGATGAATCCTTCTAGCCTGGACGATTTTAAGTGGCCAACAGTTTACAGGCCAGCTCAGAAACTTCCCCAAGATGTTAACGGTTGGTTCTCAGGAGGCAGCCACGGAGCCCACCCAGGTGACTTGCGTGTGTTTATCTGTGCGTGGGTCTCAGTCCGGAGCCAAGATGACTTGTGCGGCAGGGACACACTGCCTGCTGGAGTTTGGACTGTTACCCCAAAATTCATGCACCTGAAACAATCCCCCAAGTCATGAATAGGGTTCGGAGTGAGACATCTGGGCAGTTACTCCAGCTAGATGAGGTCAGGAGGGTCCCCATGGTGGCCTTCGTGACTTCATAAGTGGACAGAGCTGAGCTAGCAAGCCCTCTCTCCAGGGGACTCCTCCACCATGTGCCACGTGGCAGCAAGGCCCTCAGCCACGCCAGTGCCTGCCCTTGACTTCCCAGCTCCCAAAACCATGCACTAGATAGACCTCCATTGTTTACCAGTGACCTGCTCAGCCCCACCCAAATGCAGAACGTGCACCTGGTTCTGGCAAAGCGTCTGAACCCTCAGAGCGGGGTCACCCTCTGCCCCCAGAGCCCCGCTTCTCCATTTACACTGAAACTGAAGGCCGAGAGGCACAGCGGAGCAGGGCGGGCCCCGCACTTACAAGCAGTGCACCACCGTGCGGCCTTCCCCGCCGTTGTACTCCTCCTGCCACTTGTCCACCTGGCGGATGAGCTTCAGGAAGGAGCGCTTGGACACGGGTGTGTCCCTGTACATCGGCCAGCCCAGGAACTGGAACTGCTGCACCATGCGGTATCCGTCTTGGGGCTAAGAGCGCGGGGCAGCAGGCGGGGAGAGCACAGAAAACAGGTGTTATTCGCTTAGGGAAGCCGGGCCTCTTCCACCTGCTGGTCTCTGCGTCAAAGCAGGAGTGATTAAAGGAGAGGTCGGCTGACTCTGAACAAAGGTAGCTTCCTCAGGCCTCGAGAATTAGGATTTTTAGTCTGGAGCGGTTATAAAGAGCCAGGTGTTTTACATGACAGGTCTGAAGTGAAGCAGAAAGCTTCCCTTTCTGCAGAAGCCAAGAGAACCTGACACCATGGTGCACTATGAGGGGGAGATGGCTTTATCTTAATTACAGGTAGAGAATCAGCTGTAACGTAGGGCTGTCTGCGAGTCCAGCGTGATACAGCTTGCACCATATTTCTCGTGAGCGCGGGATGGTTTGCTCATGGGGATGAATCTTAAGATAGCAATAGTTAATTCATCTTTAGTCATAAGGAAGTGAATTGCAGCACTCCGAGTTCATGTTGGAAAAGTGACAACGGCTTGACCTCGCCACAGCTGGAGCCCAAGGCCAAGCCCCCTGGGGACCCTCGCTCGGGGACACCCTGTCCTCCTGGCCCTTCCTCCTCCTCGGCGGCACAGCCTCCACTTCCCCAGACCTCTCAGGACAGAAGTCCCAGGCTCCGCCCCAGCCCCCTTCCCAGCCAGCCTCTCACCTGAGGACTCCACACAGTGCCATGGCCCCAGCACCACCAGGGAGTCCTACCTGAGTGTCTCCAGTCTCCTCCTGTCTCTGGGACTACAGGCCCGGCTGGATTCCTGCATGGCTCTCAGCATCCTCCCGAACCCCGTGTCCGATGCTGCCCTCTGACCCACGACCCACACATGTCCCCGCACCAGTCACTGAGCAGCGCCCCCAACTCAGCAGATGCCCATCCCGTCGCTCGCCCTGGTCCTTGGGTCCTGCTCTGTGCTCCCTGAATCAGTCTTGGCTGCCTGCACCTGCCGCCACTGCTGTCCTGCCATAGTCACTTGTCACCAGCTCCTTCCCAGGACCCTTCAGAGCCCCCGTGGGTGTGTGCTAGTGTCCATGCTCAGCGCGGGAGCCGGAGTGCTCCCTCACACCACGTGGTTCCCAAGGCCGGTGAGGTGCCTACTTCTACGTGGGCAAACCCTGTGCTAGCAGGGGGTCCTGACCCGGTCACCTTCCTGGCAGGTGCTGGGCTCCACCCGCTGCTCCACGCTGGCCTGCGCACTGACCGCCTCCGCCCTCCTCCTTGGCTGTGCTCCCAGGCACTTCTGTTTCAAACAGACTGACTCCCTCCTGGGCCTGGCCCAGCACCTTTCACTGCTCTCTCATTCTTTATCCTGTCATATTTCCTACTTTCTGACATGCTCCGTCTAGTATTTTAGCTGTTGTGTCAATTATTTATTGTCTCTGTCCTAACAAAGGCACCTTGCTGGAGCATGGTTCAGTCCAGCTCCCGAACCATCTCCCGGGTGTATCTGTGCCTGTCCTTCTACGACGTGGTGTTGGCAAGAGCACCGCCCCCCAGTGGGTTCCCACCCTGCACCACGCCTGGCCACGGGCTGCTCGGAAAGGGCTCCCTCCCACCAGGTCTCCACTGGGGATTTCCCACCGCTGACCCGGCCTGCTCCCCGGCTGCCAACCCCACCTGTGCAGGCCGCAGTGTAAGTCCCCACTGTGGGGCCCCCCATCCTTCTGGTCCTAAAAGCGTCTTCCTCACTGGGCTTCACCAGGGGCCACTGAGTGGCTTTGTATTTAACACTCCTCTTGTTAGTGTATAAACTCCATGAGGTCAGGCATCTCTGCTTTGTTCCCTGCTGGTTCCAGACTCCGAGAAGGGGCCTGCCCACAGTGTGCTGTAGACGAGGGGATCACGAACACAGCAAGACCACAGGGACAGCGGCAGGGCCCGGCTCTTACCCTGGCGGCATTGTAAATCCGGAATATCCTGCTGATGATGTCCTCCTCCAAGTCGGCAGACACAAACTCCACCTGGATGGGGCCGTGCCTGTGCACGCCGTTCTCAGGCCAGTACTGTGGGCACAGCTGAATTCAGGACGAGAATAAACGGAAGCCTGAGCATCTTGGAGGAGGCCAGTACCGACAGTCAGTGATTCTTCAGACTTGATCAATTCCCCTCCCTTTTCTTTTCTTTCTTTTCCTTCCAGCAAGCAGACCTTAGGACTTTCTTGTTGACCCATTCCTCAACTCTGCCTGTCCCTCTCCTACAACATTTTATTCATGTCCCCCCAAAGCATCCTTAACCACACGTAATTCTGCTTTCCAGGAGGTCAGGGGGGTGCTGTTCTACATGCCCCTTTGTAAACTCTGATCTTGCTGGAAGGGGCTCTCAGGCCCTGGGGGAAATGCCACATCCCCGCCCTACAGAATCACAGACAGTTAGACAGGCACACACACCTACCGACACCCAAGTCTCTGGCCTGCCCGCCCCGGACTTTTGGGAGTAGTTGCTCTGTAATATGATTCAGGACCGATGCAGTGTGGCTTGCATTGGCATGTTCTACTCAAGCCCCCAGCTCAGATCTGGGAATTTTGGTGTCATCAGAGCACACATTTTGCTGTTTCGCCTGGAGACACTTTTGATTAAAAGACACAATTTCCTCGAGTCTGCAGCTCTAGGTACCGGTGCTACTGGTTAACTGGAACTTCCACATGAATACAATGCACAGCTCCGTGAGCAGGAGTAGTTTGGGGTACGGTGGCTGGGGAGAGGGGTGCGTTCATCTGTGGTCACCTCACAAACTTCCTAAACTTGGAGACAGTCAGGTGGGAAGAGATCCTAAGATCTGTCTTCTTCAAAAAACTTTCCTAAGTCCCTGCAGCCTTCCTAGGCATTCACGGCATGAAACTGAACTTCTAGGGTCTCTTCTGGAGCTGTTTAATTCTGATCTTTCTGGCTTCCCAGAGGGACAGACAGCTTGTGGTGGAACAAGAGAGGGAACCATTTCCTTATTTTCTAACCTGTTGCCATGGGGCCAAGAACAGATGAGAGATGTTATCATCTCATTTAAGCTAAATGAGATACCACGAAAGGAGAGTCACTGGTTGAATCTCCTTTCTTTGATGACTTATTTTCCAAAGGCTCTAACATCTCATTGTGGAATGTTGCAAAGGCTGATTTATATCCAAGATTACAGGATAAGGTCTCAGTTATCAGCAGGTTAACAGAAAGTCCTCTCTCTCCATTGTAAAGGAGTTCAAGGTTGGAGCTCATGATTAAGAATGAACGTAGGAAACCAAGTATATTTTTTCATGTCAGCTAAATCTGCTGTATTTTAGAAATCACATATATTTACGTTTAAATAATACTTCCATGAAATATTTTCTCCCTTGCTAGCAAGCACTTCCTGGTGAGAAGTTATTAAACTGCTTTGTCAAACAAGAGCGCACTGGTGTTTATTTTCATTCTGATACCCAAGGGTACCCACTGTTAAAATTAATAGGCATGGTGATGGGGAGGCGGGATAGTAACAACAGCCGTAACAGGCACATTTGAACTGTTCTGCCCATTTTCTACTCGCTGAGCTGGATTTGCTTTCTGCTTGCTCTCAGTTCAAGCGCCTGATCAAAAGCTTGTCACTTAACCAAAGAAGTGCAGACGCCCGGGCTGGTGCCTGGCTCTTGGCACACTGTGTCCTACACTTTGCCCAAGGAAACCATGTAGAAAATGGCTTAAATGGTGCATAACTCATCCGCCAACCGGACCTATAAATACTTAAAACAGCTAAGTGCTAGTCTTTTTTTTTTTTTTTTTTTTAAGTGCTAGTCTTGTACAGTTGCAAAGCCTTGAAGTTCAAATGCTCATTTTAGTGTTCACTAAGAGACCGACTCCCACGAGCCTCTTTCCTCTCACCCCGAAAATCGGCTCTCTCTGCCGAACAGCATTGGAGTCTTTTTGTGCCTCCCACCACGCGGGAGCCAAGGCTTGGTTGCTGTCCAGACAGTGGGTTTAGAAAGCAGCTTTAGAACGGGAAAGCTGTTGTTCACCAGGTACGCACGAGCATCACCCCTGTCCTGTCCACGGATGGGCACAAAGCAGTCCATATCGCCTCGTTTCCGGCTTCACATTAGGAAAAACCCAGAGTGATTCTAAACCAGGAACAAGTCCCTTGTCCTGTGACTGCCTGTGACTAGGGCATCTTGGCGGAGCGACACTCAGCCCTTGGAGCATCAGGCAGGGAGTGAACCCTCAGCTCTCCCTGGAGCTGTGTGTGTCTGTGAACACGGCTGAGGCACCCACATGGAGGAGCCCTAAAATATTCACACTTCTTAAGCCAAAAGGATGAGTGGAGAACAAGGATTATCATTACTTCGTTAGCCAGCTTGCAGGGGAGGGCCTTAACAAGGCAGCGCTGCAAACCTCACGAAAAGCCATGCGGGACAACTGCAGGTCCGCGCTGTCCCTGGCAGACTGTGGCAACAGAGCCCCTCGTGGGAAGGAAGCATCTTGCCCAGTCTGGATACTGAAATATTTCAGAACTTAAAAAAAAAAATTTGTCTGCTAGATATGAAATCAAAACTCATTTGGTTCCAGAACAGGTGTTTTCTTTAGACATGCTAAGTGCTAACTTTCCACAGTGGCCCTGTTGGAGTGGCCCAGGTGGGGTACCTGGATAATCTCAGCACCCAGCACCCTGGCGCTAGCAGCACCCTTTATAGAGAGATGCTATGCAAAAGCCACACTTAGCATTCCTACTTTTCTTATTTCTTGGTTTTCTTTCCTTTTAATATTTTCACCGAAGAGCAGACAGCACTAATTGCTATCCCTTAAACTCACTAGCGTGTCTCCACTGTCCCCTGACTGTGACGATCTCTGCCTGGAGGCTCCAAGTGAGCGTTGCTGGGCCCAGGGCTGCGTCCTTTCTCTGCTGTCCTCAGGTTGCCTCTGGGCTCCGTGTGTTCGGGGTCCTACTGAGCTGTGACTCTGGGACCTTGTGTTTCTCCAGGTGTCTTCATCTTTTGGGGACAGCCCGATTTCCAGCCCTGCCTTGCTTTGTCCCTTCTGCTGCCCAAGCCTTCTGCCTAGCTTTCTGCTCTGGCCCCCAATTCCACCTGTGTCTTACACTCCTGATCGAGCTCGCCTCGTTCTCCATTACCCGCAGCCCTGGCACGGGGCCCGCACTTCTCAGTGTGCAAACACGGCGTGCACGCACCGGCCCCCAGGGCTGGGCTCCCCGCGTGATCATTGCCTCACCTGGGCGGGGTCCACGTCATTCAGCATCACCACCGACGTGCAGTGGTAGTCCAGGACCAGCCTCCAGAAGTCCTTGACTGTGTTCGGCAAAGGGTGCTGGGTGACTATGAAAGCCGAAGGTTGTTTATAGCTCTGCAAACAAGCAAGAGAGATGCAGACACACCCAGGAAAATGGGACGGAGGGGAACTCAGCTATTTTGTGCACATGGAAACGTACGGCACAGGACCCTGGACATATTTAGCCACTGTTGAATTCTACCACCATTGTCAATACCAAAATAGACTAACTATAAACTCATCTGTGAAATAACAGTGATAAAATAGTCTCTTTCATACCAAGAAAATGTAAAAGTTTTGCCTATCAATTTTGAATGTTTCTGACAGAAAATGTAAAAGTTTTGCCTATCAATTTTGAATGTTTCTGACAGAAATACAATACTGGCTCTGTACATTAATTGTTTTAATGGACAACACAAATTTTTGTTATAAATTTGCACAAGTGAAGCAGTTCTGCTTTTCTTAAAACTTGTTGGCTTGCCGTTTCAACACTGTGTGACAGTGTTGCACATCCCTTCCATGAAGGACATACGCACTTTCCTCGGCTCTGGAGATCTTCGCACAGTTTAAGTGTCCCTTTGCGATATCACGCCACTGAGTTGGAATTTCCACACTAGCCCTGAAAATATCCTCCTATTCTTCCCATCAAATGTGCAGCAAGAAGTAAACAGACTGACAGGAAGTAAAGAGTTCTGTGTTTTCTTCCTATGTCATTACTGCCGAGATCACGAGGAAAGGGAGCCAAGATAGCGCCACCAGTTACATTATCCCATTTCCCTGCCTGGGGACTTAGCGGCCGTCCCTCGGCCTCTGGCCTACGTGGTCAGGAGGCAAAGACCGCAGGCTTCATCCCTCAGTCCTTCCAGACCCGCAGCCTCTGAGACACCAGTGACATCCGCCCTGCACAGAATCTAACAGCTGCTTCCTGTTGAAAACTTAGCCTGCATCTTTCCAAAGGGCCAGGGGAGCAGATCAGAGGGAGACATCCCTGTCCTCCCAGTGGTTCCACCTCCGGGAACCACTTCTCAGGGGACAGAGGCCAGGAAGCTTACGTCCATCAGGGCGGCGTTGATGTAGTTGCTGCTCTCGCCGTCGATGGTGATGAGGAAGGGCAGGCAGCGGTCTGGGGGCAGGATGTCCATGCAGCGGTTCTTCTCGTGGTTCCGGGGCAGGAGCGCGATGCTGCAGTCCTCCACGCGCAGGGTCGGAGTCACCATGTTGAGGGTCTGTGGGTGAAAGGCAGGCAGTGACCTCCAGGCACTGCATGCTCACTGTCTGACTCAGTGGGAGCTTCACAGTGTACTCCATCAGGAAGGAATGTGGGGATAGTTCCTATGCGACACTGCACACAAAACACCTTAAACAAACACCTTATGAGCTCTTTCTAGAACCTTTTCAGACCATCACTGAAACCTCAGATAAGGGGGACTACATAGTGCGTTAAATACAGTGGCAACATTTTTAAAAGGGTGCATGAAGAGGAGAGGGGCTCACAGCATATGTGTCTCACGGTCAGTGTGAGGGAGATGCAAGATTCCCCGAGCTGAACGCAACATGGTCTCGAGGGCACGCCACTCGCCTCCCTCGGCAGGACTCACCCGGAACTCCTCTTTAATCTGGCTGGAGTTTGTCTGTGGGTCCAGCTTGTTCATGTCGTAGTACAGAGACCTGACTTGGGAGGCAGGGATGGAGGTGTCTCCACAGAGGCAGGCTTCCAGAATGGCATCATGGATGAACACGTACTGCTCCTGGAGAAGCAGACGGACTGGTGAGGGATGCGGAAGCAGGTGGACTCAGAGAGGTGGTGGCGGGGACAGTGTGTGCTTTAGCCCCATGTCACCAAGATCACAGAGACAGCACAGTACATTCTCAATGGAGAGGAGCAAGCTCCAAGGGCCTGTAGCATCAGCAGCCCTGGTCCTCCCATGGGACACTGGGCACGGCGCCTGCTCTACCGTAGGAGGAGGACACTAAGTGGAGTTAGTGTCCTCACACAAACCAGCCATATGCAGATACAGCCACAGCAGGCATTAGGATGAGTGGTCAGAAAATACAGCGAATGTTTAAAAAGAAAAATCTAAAACAGTGCTATGAATCCCCCTGGAAGAACTCCCCCTCAGTTTGAACGCATGTATCCCATCATTCTGGCCACTTTCCAAAGCAGTTCTGGAATCCTCTTTCCTGAGTATCTTTAGTTATGTTGTCATGGCTGCCTTGACATCCCAAATGGATTCAAAGCATTTGTTTCATGGGCATTTTGACCTTGGGGAAGAGCCAGAAGTTGCATAGTACCAGACTGGGTGAGTAAGGTCAGCGAGGACATAGCATCATGTTTTTATTTGGCAGAAATTACTGTAAACATTTTGAGTCAGTTCAGGACATCCAGGTAGACATGAAAAAACACTCATGAAAGAGGACTTCCAGAACTGATGCAGAAAGTGACAAAAATCTATGGGATAAGTGTGTTTGAAATGAAGAGAAATATTCTGTGGGAGATGAATAGTATTATCTTTTTTTACTATATATTTTGATCATACCAGCCAAAGGTGCAATGGAGACCCCAGAAATTTGAAGTCAGGAACATGGATTGTCTAAGGAAAACTGCAAGGAGGGAGCAAAGCAGGCCTAAGAGAGAAGCCACAGGGAGCTACAACCACCAGAAGTGCCCCAGAGTCGGAGCCACATGCAGCTCACAATTTGCTACAGAGTGCTTCAGATGTGCCACGTGGAACTACAGGACTTAATCTTTGCCCTGATAGATACTGGACCTGCTTTGGTCCCAATGCTTTGTATCCCCTTGTTTGTACCTTTTGAGATGGTAATGTTTATTGTATGCCATTGGATGTTCGAAGTGTTTAACTTTCTTTGCATTTGTACAGGGGCTCACAGCTAAGAGTTTGCCTTACATTTTGGAGAGTTGGGACTTGGACTTTTCAGCAATGCTGAAACTGTTAGGATTTTGACAACACTTAGAGATGGACTAAAATGCCTTTTGCATAAAGGGATGTGCATGAGTCTTTGGGGTGCTAGAGTTTTTGATTGACTCATGGTCCAGCACTAGAATTAAGGGTGTGGGTACTATACCCGCCCTGGGGCGGGCAGCCTGCATACCATGTAAGGGATGGGGAGAAGCTTGTTGCTGCTCTGCTCCTCCCTTTTTGCTCTTGCTGTTTTCTGGTGCCATTAATTGTTGCCCTCTGCCATGTGCCACCCTGCCTTGCTGCCAGCCGAGTATGGACTGAAACCTCCACAAACTGTGAGCTAAATAAACCGTTCTTTCTTTAATTCTGGGCATCGGGTATTTTGTCTCAGCAATGAGAGAAAAGTAACCAAGATAACACCTCCTATAATACTATAGTGATAGGTTACAGTGCTTCTGTCATTCTGATCCCACAAATTTGGAAGTCAGTATTTCAGAGGAATGAGCAGAATTGTATCTAGGTTGAAAAGAGGATTTGCTAACCAAATTAATAGTGCAAAGAAGGCCCTGGGAAACCTGACACTGCTCTGAAGACAAACAGTTCAGAACACCAGGAACTACTTACTTCAAAACACTTATGTGTAATTACAAAACATTAATGTGTAAGTTCTTATGAGCCCAACATACAGCTCTTGCACATGTGCACAAAATGTCTACATTTTAGGCATGTGCACATGTACATGTGTACAATATGTATACACTGGGCTAGGGTGCAGTTCAGTGGTAGAGTGCTTGCTAGCATGCATGAGGCCCCAGGTTTGGTCTCTGGCACCACAAAACAACAAGCCTAAAGATGGAGCCTCTAATTCTGGCATGGCACTGACTTTCCGTATAAGTCAGGGGAGTTTTTCAATATTTATTATTGATCTTTAATTATATGAAATGTTATAGTGTCCCTTACTGACATCGTTTTCTATATAGTTAGGACCTTCAGTTCTCAGAACCAGCCCACTCATATTAAACCTCAGTACAAAAAAAAGACAAGTGAGAAAATGATTATGGCAACAATAGTACAATAAAAATAAAAAACAATACCTGCTCTGAAGAAAACAGCATGAAAGCAGGGTTTAGAGTGTGTTACTTTTACGTGAGCGAGGACAGTGGGACTGGGGTTCCCGGGGGCTTTGTAAACTGTAATGCACCATCGGGACCTAAGGGACCCTTGTTTTTTCTTCCTTCTGCTTTGTGAATTATCTTCCAGGTGGTGGGCTGCAGTGCCTGCTTAAAACAATCAAATAGTAATAAAAATATGACTGTCCTAGGAATAGTATGGAATACTTCTCAAAAAATTAAATCTGATACACTGCTACCTTTCAATTTCCAGAGTTACTCCTTGGTACAAAATCTGACTACAAAATGGGCCAATTCCCATGATGCCAGGCCACTGGGCAGAAATGTCAGGGACAAGAGACTACTGTCTTCCCTCTTATCCCTGGAGAAGAATAAAATGTACAGAGACTGCTTGAAGCCGCTTGGCGGAGGCCTAGCTGTCCTCAGGAACGGTCTCACTCTGGTTCCCAGCTATGTTAAAAGATGGAATGAAAAGAAACTGCACGGAAAGCTAGGAGGCTTAGTGTGGAGACTCCACTGGATCATTTGACACAGAAAAGTAAGGTAGCTTAGGCTCACAGTCACAGAGTGTGTTACCTGGAAAGCTCTTGTCACAGAATTGAGCTTGCAAACTACTTTTGTTTACTAACAGGAAAACACCAAGCAGAAAGAAGGGAGGACACAGGATTGCTAGGTATATCACTCAGCTGCCGGGGGCACCTAGAGGCACAGCGGGCAGGCTTTCTGCTGCTCTGAGCTCTGGAAAAGTGCTGAGGCCAAGGTGGAGGACCCGGGGTGGGGGAGGCCCTACCTCCGTCTGCACCATGTTCACTCTCCGAGACCGCAGCTCCCGGACGCAGTTGTAGATGTCCACCACACCCTCCCGCTCGGCCATGTCCAGCATGATGTCGATGACAATGAAGCAGCCGGTCCTCCCGGCACCAGCGCTGATGGAGAGAGGGCTCTGTCAGTGAGGGAAGAGGGACCCCTCCACCTCCCCTTTTTTGGTGATGGTACTCGGGATTGAACCCAGGGCCTTTGCACTGAGCTACTTTCCCAGCTGTTTTTCTTTTATATTCAAGTTTGCATCATGTTTTAATCCGAGAGGATTCTTCTGGAAAGTTACATGCAACATACAAAACTGGCTCAGTTTTCATCTGGAGACAGAGTCTTGTGGAGTTGCTAAGTTGCCCAGGCTGGACTTAAACTTGTGACTGCCTGCCCCAATCCCCCTCCTAGAGTGCTGGGATTATAGGTGTGTTCCACCACGTCCCACTATGTGCTGCCTCTTTTAAAAATTTTCATGAAGGAGGCAGTCACACAACTAACCATCAAAACACAGACATTTCAGGCACTCGGCATCACCCTGTGCTGGGCAGGCCTCTGTATCTGGTTCCAGAGCACCCACTTCACCCACGAGTGCAGCTCCCCAGGGTGCCCTCCCGAGGTCCACCGCGCGCTGCTCACCTGCAGTGCACCACGAGGGGGCCCGCGTTGGGTGGGCTCTTGGACTTGACCTGCCGCACGAATCCCAGCAGACCCGTGGCATGGTAGGGGACCCCATGATCTGGCCAGCCCGTGAAGTGAAACTGTCTGATCTCTCGGATTTCATGGACACCTCGCTGCGTTCCCGGGGCAGCCACAGCAAGAGGGAACAAAGGCAAAGAAGTGATAAACAAAAGCAATCCCGGAGCATACAACACGCCTAAGTAGTAAAGTTCCTGGGGCCGGAAACCAATGCACGGTTGGGGAGGAGGTCCGGCTTTGATCTGGTGCAGCTAGTGCTTCCCAGCTGGTCCCCAGGAAGACCTGGATGGGTGGAGAGGGGAGGTGATGTCCGGGGAAAACACTAACGTGCACACACAATTCCTGCAGGTGAAGGGATCCCTTTGGTTCTTTGAAATCCTCTTCTAAAAAGCAGGCTATAGGAAAAGCTGCTCAAACTGGCTGCTGAGATGCAGGACTCCTGCTCGCACTCTTCTGTGTCCTGGCCCCTTGGCACCAGGCCCTTGAGCGGCGCATGCTCACAGCACACACTGCGCCTGCGCAGAAATGTCTGCCGGAAGGAGGAACGGATAAGGACCACTTTCCAACCATATGGTTGGGGAACTCATCTTCATGGGCAACACAGTTTGTTGGGGTTCTCCCTTTAATTCACGTCAATTTATGACCCACTCAGCCGGCACTAACAATCTTATGGCTACTGGGCTCCAAGCATCACAGGACCTGGGACGGCTGTAGCGCTACAAAGCCAGTGAGTGGCCATCCCAAGTGGCCTGTGGGGAGCAGGCTGGTCCCAGGGACACACAACGGGGACGAGAGGTGTTCCGCCGGAATTCTAAGGGAGACCAGGATGCAGAGAGTGGGCAGGCAGAGAGGACAGGGACTTTATACTTATGTTGGAATTTTGACTCTTGCTTTGAGAATAATTAAATAGACTTACACCCAGCAGTTTTATTTTCTAAGGCTGTATTTTAAGACTGTGTTTTAAGGTAAAGACCTGTTTTGAAAATAAAAATTGCTCCTGAAGCCAAGGCTGTGTGTAAACGTGCAATTAAATTTCACTTTCTCCGTCTCTTACTGGAGAACCAGTGCTGAAACACTGCGTTAGGCCTTGGCTTTGGATTTTGATTCCATCTTAAAGCGAAACACACATTAACCTTATCGTGTTACCCATCAGTCACTGTTCACACATATTTAAAGAACAAAGAACAAATTTAGAAATTTTATGCACTTGGAAAGAGGTGGAGAGTGTAGATTCTAAGATAAGACCCATTTGCTATGGATGTGCTGATACGTCTTAGTTTAATAACCCACGAAAAGATTTATTTTTCTATGAAAATGCTATTTGTTACTAGGGTTTAAGCAGTAAGGATTTAAGCAGTCAAGGATTCACAATGTAAATTGACACTGTCATCTATTAAATAAGCTCAGTGATCGCAGAGTAACACTACTCTGTAGTTAGGAGCCAAATTTCTTATTGCTGAGAAGTGGTAAGATTTGGCCAGCCCCAAAATCTCCAAGAGAAGACACAGAGTTGATCTTCTGGCTTTAGGTATGATGACTTGGGCAGGGGAGGGGGATATCCCATGAACTGGGAAAGCTTGTCAGCAATAAATACTTTTCCATTCCACAGGGGGAAAAGGGCATTGCTTTCTGTAGTAGCTTTCAACCCAGCATATCCAGGCCCTGAGCCCTGTCCATCATGAGATGCACTCCCAACTGATGTCAGACTCATTTTCCTGAGCAAGGTAAATGTGTTTCCAAAATGCAGGACACCTGCTCCCGGATGAATCCCATCCTCTAACATGTCCATCACTGACAAGGTTAACAAAGGAAGTTGCTTCTGATCCAACTTGCATTCTTGCTCATGGACGCCAGCTTCTCTTTTGGCCATTTCATAAGATATTTGGAGAAGAAGGTCAGAGCTGTAACCAGCAGTCACAGCCCAAACACTTCCCAAAGGCACGTTAATGACATTTTTCTTTAGTTTTCATGATAAGAGCATCAATGCTATGCACATCTGTGGCAGGCATTTAATTTTTCCATGTAGCTGAATGGGAAGGAGAATCCATGCCATATAACAGTACTCCATTCAAAGAGGGCGTTTTGTAAGGATCTGGGGAGTGACTGAGTCACTACGTGCATGCTCTGTCTTCGAGACAGGGATCCTGTTTCCAGGGTTTGTCTGAGTCCCGGGCACCTTGCGGGTAGAGAGAATTGAGGGGCAGGCCCAGGTCGGCGGGGTGGATTCACCAGACAGCCGGAGCCTGTGTGTGGCAGGCACGATGTGTCATGCAGAACATTAGACGGGGGAAAGACAAGGCGAGCATCAGAGGCAGAACAAGTGCACCTGCTCCTCATTGCCACCGGCAGCTTGTTTTACTGAGAGGAGCAGAGGTCCGTTCCCACCTGTGGGTCTCTTCTCACAACGTGCCCTCAGAAGGGAACCAGAATTGGACGGATCTCAGAGTACACGCCTGACCATGTTTTCCCTTCTATTTTAATGAGAAAGTTTCATACCCGCTAGAAATGTTCTACAGAGGCTCAATTAATTGTTTTCCTAGATTCCAGCTGCCCCGCTAGAAAATCACTAACATGTCACTTTGATTCCCCAAACACGTTCACAGCTCTTCCTTCCCACCTCCTCATGGGTTGTCTGATGACTAAAATAACTGGGTGTTTCTTAGACATTTCTGTGCAGCTGGGAATGTAGCAGAGTAGAGTAAGAGGTTAAAAAAGGAGCAAAGAAACAAACAAACCCTTCCGCTAGCAACAGAGATGCATTTCCAGCTTATTAGAGAGCTGACTACTGTTCAAAGAGCTCCATGTTTAAGCAGTGGCTTGAGAAAAAAATACTGAGGGTCTTTTATCGCTATCTGTTTTAATGCAGTTATTCATGAGTCCTTTTGCCAAGAGCCACACAAAAACCCTCCACGTGTTTTTTCCCCAATCCTGCCTAGGAAGGAAAAAAACCGACATCAAAGTGTGAGGTTCAAAACTTGAAGAAGTGAGTCAACCAGAACCTCACATTCTTTGAAGTCTCCAAGCTTCCTGCCTACTTATTAAAAAAGGCAGATGAAGGGGAAAAATGCTAAAGAGCATGCGAAACAGATGAAGATGAACTAACGCGACTCTATGACAAATTTGGCTTTGCAAACCAGGAACCATAGTTCTAATCATCAGCATAAATTAGCCAGTAAGCACTTGCTGTAATTTCCTGGATTTCCTAAAATTGGTCTTATGAATCCAAAAAGTGCATCTGAATGCTTTGGGAACGCAGAGTGGAGAGGGAGGTCAAGAGCCAGGGCCTGGCATCCCCTCCAGCCCAGGTCTTGCAAGGGCACCGACTCCCCTTACAGGAGCGTGTGTGGCACACACACACATCTTGGAGACCCGGCAGCCGTGCGCGGCTCCTGACAGAATGGGCCCTCGGTAGCACAGTCCGCAGCCTCTGCAAGTGCTTCTCAGCCACATCACCTCCTCCTTCCCCGCGCCTACCTGTGACACTTCTCGGGATGGACTGCAGTTTGCTTCACCTCCGGCCCCTCCCTATGTCAGCAGAAAGAGGGGATAAGGAAATGCCCTGTTATGCCCTACAGTGCTTTGCAGAGGGGCCCCAGCCATGCGCGTGGGCGGGGGCCGGAAGAACTGCAGCACAGCGGTCCCCAACCCCACACCGGCAGCTGCAGAGGGCTGACGTCACTATGGCAGTGAGCATGAAGAGGGCAGGGCCATGCAAGGCTGTCCTGTGTCCCTGGACAGAGGCCGCTGGTTTTCCAGGTACGCTGGGTCTGCCTGAAAAACCATCTATCCGTATTGAATGGAGGCTGGGGGAGCCTGGGAGGAGCGAGAGATCCCATGAAGAGTTAGGAGCTGCATCTCAACAGCAATCCTCAGCCAGTGCCCGGACCTGCACATGGCCCTTCCGCATGGAGGGATGCTGTCAGACTGGAAGAGGTGTCAACCGCAACAGACCTCGCTCTGCGCACAGAGGTGGGCAGAACGGTACCAGGCAGGGTAGGAACAAAGGAATGGACATTATCCTTCGGTTTAGTTGCAAAAACATGAACTGTTATGAAATGGGCATGACGGATGGAAGGGTGGCGTTGAGCGGTTAGAGACGCAGTGGGCAGGTGCGACCTTGAGCGACCACCTGCACTCAGGAGGACGGCGTTAAATTACCCGGGATAAATTCATGAGGTTAGCACACAACCACTCTAGCTTTCAGACTTACCTTTTCCACAGCAAATGTCCTTATCACATATTCTGCCAGCAGTTCTGTTTCTATGAGGGTAACCTTAATGTCTTTGTATATTTCTGTATCGTCTGGCCAGTATTTGCAGCACTTGACCTTAGGAAAAAAAGGAAAATGATGGGTTTAGTTTTCCTTTAGTTCCCGTAAGGATGGGAGGCACTATGAGTGACAGGTTAACGTTTGCACACAAGGCCAAAAGTGAACCATACACTCAGGAGCAAGGTCTATGTTTTTCCATCATCTGTTTTGTTTAATTCCAGAAAGAAACAAAATGTGAATCATGGGAGAAGTGACATTTAGGAAAATGGTCTAAAGTTAACAAATTGTATTATGCTACAGACATCTCAACTGCAGTAACGATTCATTTCCTATACGTCTCTCCTCAGGGAATGGCCGGGGAACACAAACTCTAAAAGGAAGTTTGCAGTATTTTTCCCCCTCTGAATCATAAATTCCTCCTGGTTTCAGAAAGTGAGTGAACATTTTTGAGACTGGAGCAGAAAATCAAAATGGACACTGAAGATTAAAGTTCTTTTTTTTTTTTCTGAAGGAGGAAGTACCCATGTGGTTTTCCCAAGTTAGAATGACAGTTATTTTAATATAAGCAAAATTCAATGAATGAAACTTGACAAAACATGAACACAGTCTTTGCACATTATCTCAACCTCTGACCCGAGGGTTTCTCAGGCAGAAGAAATGCGATAGAATTACTCCTGCTCAGAGTTGTTTTTGCATGTGGTGCTTGCAGGTATCAGCAAAGGCTCGGACGAGGGCAGCCCAGAAGCAGAGCTTGGGCGGGGACAGGCAGCCTCTGTGGGTTCTGTTCGGGACTCTTGTGCTTCTCCTGAGCTCCTATCCCCACCCCTCCAGGGATGCATTTTTATTCTGTAACTCTGTGTCTGCTGGTGTAAGCACCTGGCTTCTTCCATGGGCTCTTCCCCTGGAAGGTTCTGCCGAGCCCCCCAAGGCCAGATGTCTGTGGGGCTCTCCTTGTTCACACTCGCCACTCTGGCTGGCTTCCTTGTCAACGTCACTACAATTTCCTCCATCACTCAGGGACGAAACCCAGCCAATTCCCCCTCTAAGCCCAGGCCCGGGAGTGCTGCCAAGGCCAGGCACGTACCCTGCGAGAAACCGCTAGACATGGTTCCTGACTTCTCATCCCTCTGCCGCAAACGACCTCAGTTTAGGTGCCAGGGTCTGCCTGCACGAGCATCCGACACAGCTCACAGCAGAAAAACCCTCGCAAGTGTAAGCCCTGTGCATTTACTTCTGCTGCCCAGGGATCTCCTATTTCCAGCCACTGTCCGTGAAATTAGACAGAGATTCTTCAGCTGGCATGTAAGGAACTTTGAAAAATTGGCCACAACTTCCCAGCCTTATCTTTTATTGCTTTCTGTTCACTTATATTTTATGTTCAGATGAGCAGTTTCCCCTAATCTGCAAACACAGGCCATGATCCCAACTCCAACTCAAGAACTTCTGCTGGGAATGTTCCCTCCGCCCCGCCCGGCTTTCCCCAGCTAGGACGCCTTTCTGTAACTCAGAGGGTATCTCAAATTCACACCGCCACATGCCGCTTCTCCACCGACATGAACTCTCTGACTCTGAAAAAATGAATTCGCTTGGAAGCTAAGATGATGCCCTTCCCATCATGCTCCAAACCTGCCTATTCCTGGCCAGCAGACAAGGGTTTTGTCTTGCTTAATTCTCTAAACCCCGCAGCAACCGGCCAGCATGCGCTAAGTACTACATACACAGTGGTTACACAGGGAGCTGAATTCCAGGGACAAAGTCAAAACATTAGCACAAGAAGGGAAATCCAATGCCTTGGAGTTTAAGAAAAAAGCACTTCTACACTGTTGGAGGGAATGTAAACTAGTACAACCACATGGAAATCAGTATGGAGATTTCTCAAAAAATGAAAGTTAGAAGTTCCATTTGACCCAGCTCTTTCCCTTCTAGGCATCTTCCCAGAAGAGTTACAGACACCGTATTACAGTGATCCATGCAAACTCATGTTTATAGCAGCACAACTCACAGTAGCTCAATCTTAGAAGCAGCTTACGTGTCCATCAACAGAAGAATGGGTAAAGAAAATGCATTTATACACAGTAGAGCACTACTCTGCTACAAAAAGGATGAATCTGAGTCATTTTAGGAAAATGGATGCACTTTGAGACCACAATGATAAGTGTAATAAAGTAGACACACAAGTTTAAATATCAGGTAGTTTCTCTTTTCTGAGAAACCTAAAATGTAAATAAATAGCAAAGTAAAAGAGAATAGGAAACAAGGAGACAGATCTTTTGCAAATGGGATGGAGACCAAGAGGTGGAGGGAGGCGGAGGGCAAGCGGAAAGAGTGAAGATGTGCTCTGCGCGTGCCCCAGCTCCCCACGAGGATGTACTCATTACGGACTGCAAACATGGACACATAAACAGCGCTGAAAGGAAACAAGAGTGCCCTGCATGTGTTGAGAGCTCGGAGCTTCTCTCTGAGACATGTGCTGTCCTGATGGCCTGGGCCAAGGGCAGTTCCACACGGTCTGCCTGCGCCATGCTCAGCATGGAAGGCAGCCAGGTGTGGTGCTGGTGGCCAGGGACACCAGGTGGGGCACAGCGTGGCGGTGGCCTGCGCCTCTGGGTGCAGCAGGGTTTGCTCTGAGCTCAGGGCTCTGCCGGATGTGGGGGAGCATGTGGAACGTGGGGCGCTTCCCTCTGGGGCACCCCAAGGAGGCAGTTGGTTGGGTTCTGGTTCTCCCTGTAGCATCCTCCAGACTCCTGAAATGCTGTGCCACGTCTGTTTGCAGCCTCCTGAAATCTCTTCTAAGCTGGGTTCCTTTTTAGTGCCTTTTAAACTGCTTGGACTCGTGTCAAGTTAATATTTCACTTGTAAAAAAGGGAAGAGGAAGTATGCTTCCCTCTTCCTCCCCTGTGACACTTCTGCATGTCAGAGCACCCTGGAGTAGAGCCCCACACAGGGCGCTGCCATGTCGGTGGGCCGCACTCTGCCTGCTCCTGTCTCCTGCTGCCTGAGCCCCTGCGTATCTTCCAGCCCAGGCTCTGCACCTGCACCCCAAGCGTGGTGGTCTAATGAGCTTGGTGCTCAGCGCCCAGTCCTCCAGCCATTAATCAGGTGGCTTTGCGGGCCGCCTGCCCATTACTACTCAAGGGCTGTGGGAGGGTGGCCTGCCCTCTGCTCCAAAGGGGGTGGGGGCCGGTGTGGTTTTCAAATGCATTAATGTGAAGGCGTAGAGAAGGCAGTGTAAGTCTAGGACTTCCAATTCACTGAAACAATTCTTGGAGTCCCTTTTTCCTGGGACAGAAGACTGAAGCCAGGGCCTTTCCACTGAACTACATTCCCAAAGCTTAGGGTCTTGCTACGTCTCTAAGTTGCCCAGGCTGGGTTAGAATCTGCAATCCTCCGGCTTCAGCCTTGCAGAGTGCTGGGATTACAGGCGTGTGCCAGGAGTCACCTAACCAGACACCCAGCTGATCCCCAGGCATAGTGAGATCAGCAGTGTTGGGGGCCAGAGCTGCATCCCCAGGTTGGCGGCATACACCGTAACCGTTGGGGCATCTTGACACTGCAGGAGCAGCAGGTCTAAAGTTCTAAACTTCGACAGGCATCAGAATTCCTCGCGTGGGGAGTCTCCTAACGCAGTAGGTCTGGAATGGTGGGGCAGAAGTGTTTGCACTTGGAACCAGCTCGAGGTGATGCTGAGGTCTGTGGCCAATACTGGGTAGCAGGATTGAGGCCACACTGCGGGCATGAAAGCCTGTGGGGCTAGAGGCCACGGTGATACGAATCTGAGGCTAGGGAGGTCGCTCCGTCTCAGGTGCTCCATGTCAGGAGGGGACAGTCACCGTTCCCATCCGAGAGTGTTCTGAGAGCAACCAGGCTTTCCAAATTGCCTCTACACTGGAATGACTTTAGGGGAATGTGTAGCCAAAACCCAAAGTCCAGGCCACATTCTAGGCCAAGTACATCTCAACTTCGGGGTAGGCACAGCCTTCTCCCCCAAATTTTTGAGGTGGCCAAGAAATTCCAAGAGTGGATGAGTCTGGGAAGCCCTGGGTTCCCAAATCCAGTGATGCAAGGCGATGGAGGCATCGGCCATGTGTGGCACACCCCAAGTGCTCACAGATGTGCATTCCGACTCTTAACTGGTAATTCTGAGATCTGGACCCCCGGCCACTGGAGGAGCCTGGAGGGCAAGGAGCCCAGTGAGGGTCAGGAGAGGGGACGCAGGGCTTCTGGGAGGCACTGAGCACTGGCCGCCATGCAGGGCTCGCGACGGTGGAGGGAACAGGGAAACCCACGTGCTTGTCCTTTCCGCAGGCCTCACTCCTGGGAAACGGGACAGTGGAGGAGAGGCTGGCACGTCCGTTCTCCTGTCAGCGTGCTCTGGTGAGCTCGCAGCACAAACGGGGAAACAGCGCCTGTGCGGTAGGGGAGGAGACTGAAGTCCAGCAGAGTTGCAGTCACAGAGTCGCAAATCCTCATTCTCCAGGTCACTGCAACCCCTACGCACAGCCTTCGCTGCTCTGGGTCTGAGGCAGTGAGCAGCGTGTCCTCACAGCTGTGGCCTCCCGTAGCAGAGGGCAAGGGGTATGCCAGGGGTGGGGCTGGCCTCCAGCCTCCCTGCTCCTGCGCTCGGATGCAGAACTGGAAGGCAGGTCTGAGAGCCCGAGCAGCTGGCTCAAGGTCACTGGCTCCATGCTGGCCAGGCAGGGTGGCTGCTGGGCTCTGACTCCAACTCCAGCTGCAGGGCTGAGCAGGCGGGTAGAACTCACAGCGCATGACGCTTTCCCGCACCTTGCTAGGAGGTTCTGGCTTCCAGGAGAGATGCCAAGTAGGAAGTCTGAAAGGTTTCACGTCCATGCCTTGGTCTACAGCTGTTGATTTCCGCAGGTGCCTCTGTGAGGCTGTGGGCAGGATTTGGTCTATAGAGGGGCAGTGTGCAGGGTACAGGACTTGTTTTGCTGAGAAATCCATGATTCGTAGGGACAGGGGAGCTGAGTGTTAGCTCTTAAGGGCAGGGCACTATAGTGTGCCCCGATAAACACAGCTTTCAAGGGACAGATGGAAGG